TCATTGAGCGTGTCCAGCGGGCCGCCACTAGAATGGTTGCCGGCCTCAAATCCGTGGACCACGAAACGCGTCTCGCGATGCTTCATCTCTTTCCCCTGGAGTACCGTCGCCTCCGAGGGGACCTAATTCTTACTTACGCCCTGTTTGAACAAAGCTTGGCAAACAGGTTTTTTACCGTTGACCCAGCAAACACCCGGCGAGGACATAGTAAGAAAATTTTCAAGCTCAGGGCACACACATTCATTAGACAAAAATTTTTTTCATTTCGGGTAGTAGCTGCGTGGAATGACCTTCCTCCGACGGTTGTACACGCTCCTTCTCGAACCCAATTTAAAGCACTATTAGACATTTATTTATGCGAATCCTCGCGCTGGCGAGCATACTGCCCCGCGCTGAGAACAAAAAGAGCAGTGCTACACCCTTTTTTCACTTGTGCCTTTCAGGTGAACGACAGCCACTGACCGACAAGAACAAAACCGACCAGGGAGACTTGGGCAAAAGCCTCGATCCTGTGTATCAATCCGTGAATCCGTGAATCAGAGCTCGCCTTGGTTCTATACCATCTGCCAGTGCACCATTCTGACCAATGAAATGCGGGTTATGCTTATTGGCCATTGCAACGCCTAATTGCGAGTGATGAGGCGGCTGTCGCAGGATTCCGCCTAACACAAGGGAGAAGTTGGTCGTTATTTGCTTGTTTTGGCTGCCTACGCTTCAAACGATTGCAGCACCCACCGTCGGCCGCAATCTTTATAGCGCACTGAATGCACTGTTATGGCGAGTTTCAATCTAGGATATTCGTGTGTTTACCTTAGATCTGAATGCACTAGTGGACGGAACTAGCGCCATTAATTACCGACGGCGCACGTCACGCATTAACCGCCGCGCGCTTCGGAACACCCATTTGAGTTATGACAGTGCTCGTCTGGAATCGCTTCCCCGTTTTGTAGAGCCACGTCTGGGGCAGGCAAATGGCATGGCAACTGAGGATCCGCCATATTCCATAGTTAGACGAATCTATCAAAGTCGTCTTCTTGACCCTCTTCCAACTCCCCCGCTGTTGGATATGAACTCGTGCTGAAACGGGATCGCCATATCTTTGCGCAGTGACAATGGATTTGCCTCTAGCATGGAGCTTCCAGGTCCTCTCAAGCAGTGCATATCAAACAGAACAGTACTGTCCGACTCTGGAGGAATGGTTCCCCCTGGCCCCTAGCGTAATTCGGCTCGACCAATTATTACACTTCGAAAGGAATTCTACAATGACCGTGAAGCCCAATGAACACGGTAGCCAAATAAAAGGAATAGGCCCGGAAAGCATAAAAAGTTCCATAAGATCGTTCCCCTTTATCCTTGGGACGTGTCCCTGTGAGCGACACCTTAAAGAATCAAAGTAGCGCAACCAGTTTGAATAAAACAGGAAGCAACTGCTGGATCATGCCCACCTGCTGTCCTCCATTTGGATCCTGGACGGTGAAAACGAAACCCCTATGGCTTCAGTGATTTGCGACTGCATATGATCTATCAAGCGCCCCCGGGCTATTGATCCTGGTAAAGGCGAAATAGCTCTGGCTCGAGTGCGAATTTACTGACCGAAAGGTTATCATCATCATCATTTTCAGTTGTAAAAGCCGCGTACTCGCGTGGTCGTAGCTGCCACAGTTTCGCTCACCGATGATTTCGTGGGGGTAGGTAGGTGCGCAGTTGAGACGGGAGTTGATAAATTAGTGCGCGAAACAGCACTGNAGGGAACCAGAGGCGGTCAAACAATGACTATGCGACAAAGTTATCATCTTCATTGTCAGATGTAATCGCCGCGTGCTTGTCGGACAGTGGTCGTAGCTGCCACAGTTTCGTTCACCGATGATTTGGTGGGGGTAGGTAGGTGCGCAATGGAGACGGGAGTTGATAAATTAGTGCGCGAAACAGCACTGTCAGTGGGCTTTAAAGTGGGGGAAGTTGGAAAAGGAGCTATGCATTGAAGGCAATAGCTTGGATGCATGAGTGCCTTTGAGTGCGCGACTGGGCCGTGTCTGATAATGTCTCTAGCCATTGATGTGGCCAGTCTCGGGGTCCCCATCCATAGAGACGGCAACGACCAGCGCAGCTGAGTTGTCTGGTAATGGCTTTTATGCTTCACTGCGGTCATTGTTGAAACATGCGCTTTTTATCAACTACTGGACCCGTACATTTGTCTTTTTCTGTGAAGAAGCCGGTTCAGCCTGCCACAAGGTGTTGACCACTTAATGTGGGTTTGAATTGTCTGCACGTCTCTCTTCAGTGATCCACAGAAGAGTGTTGCACCGTAATTTCTTGTAAGTACCTTTTCCACCACCTGGATTCTTTTTTCAGCCATCATGTCAACCAAAGCCAGACGGCGTTTAATGAATGACTTCAGAAAAATCCAGCTTGACCCGCCGCCTGGTGTCTATGCAGTGCCTTTAGACAACAACATTCTTATATGGCACGCGGTAATCCTTGGCGCTGACGGTACTCCTTTTGCCGACGGCGTGTTCAAACTTACAATGGAATTTACCGAAAACTATCCTAACGTTCCACCGACTGTTCGATTTGTTTCCAAAATGTTTCATCCCAACGTTTACGCTGATGGAAGCATCTGTTTGGATATCCTACAAAACATGTGGTCATCCTCCTACAATATTGGTGCAATACTTACCTCCTTACAGTCATTGCTCGGTGATCCAAACCCGAATTCTCCAGCAAATACGGTCGCTGCGGAATTGTTCGAAGAAGACAAACGGCGTTATGAAGAACGTGTAAGGGAGATTGTAGAGGAATCTTGGCGTAGCGATGATCCCATTGAGGAGGCCTGATCTGGTTTTTACACCGTAGACAATATCATGCGCCTTTTTCTTTCTTGTTTTCATTGTAAATACAACTGCCTTTCTTTTGATGGTCAATGTTTCTATGAAAATCTTGCATTTCATTCCATTTCGAGCGCTCGATTCGCCAATCATAGCATTCCATTTCAAAGGTTTCTGTGAAACGCGTTGGGTTTTCTCCAGGCAAATCTCACTACCAAGTGAACTTGTAACAACATGGCCATTAGTCCATTTGACTCGAAATAGGGGGCTACTAGCTCAGTGAGAGGAACAACTTTTTCTTAGTTGAGAAACTTGACGATGTAATTTGCTCGTGTAAGGTGTGGAATTATCAGTAATCTTTTTTTCATGAAGGAAACTACTCACAACGTTGCAGAAAGCTCTTCGACAGCCCACGTCCGGTTTTGCCCTTCTTGAGGCCCATCAGATAGGCACATTCCCCGAGTTTCCGTCAACCTTATGATCTACTTGAATCCAAATTGCACTGTTTTCGAGAAGTACAGCGCGATTTGGGTTCAATTAGATCATAAGGTTGACGGAAATTCGAGGACTGCGCCTACCTGATGATCCCCAAGAAGGGCGAAACCGGTCGTGGGCTGACGAAGAGTTTTCAGCAACCTTGTGAGTAGTTTCCTTTATGAAAATATACTGCGATATCTCGAATATCGTGCCAACTAAATCATGAGGCGGCCTGTGTGCGGCATATTCATTTGAAGGACATCATAAACGAGAGATTCAATTTAGTCTCCCGTGAAAACCAAATTGATTTGCAAATGAGTGTATTTCTCGAGATCAGTAATCTTTCAAAGCATGGGGCTCCTGGAACAATCACACAGACAAAATTTTCCGAAGTTTTTTGAACTATTAATGTGGACATATGGTTTTCTCTATTGGTGCAGATTACCGTTGTTATGTCCTCAACGTTATTTCATCGGAAGTGTTCTTGAGCGAAGATGACGAATTTATGCCGTACCAGCTTTTCTGCCGAACCCATCTTTGAAATTCCTTTACCTCAACCGTTAAAAGAAGAAAGAAAGCTTTCAGCTGTAGCACCCTTTCGGTGCCTAGCTGCCATACCACCCGAAGGAAGCACGAGGGCTGGGATACTGCCAGGTTGCCCAAGCCTAGACAGGGGAGGTCGAGTGGCGGAGGTCGGATTCGAACCACGGACCTTCCGGTCAGTAAATTCGGGCTCTAACCACTTGGGCCATCTCGCCCCCTCAACCGTTAAGCAAATGCATCATTGTATAGCTTGTGTCATTGACGTTCATCTTCGTATTGTTTCCACAATAACGTGTGTTGCCTTCAGCAGTGTGATAACTGGCTTGAGGTAACCTACAGTTTTGGACTATTCTAATCAGTTTTCGGTTGACATGGGTACGTCTACGTCACTCTCCATGAAACAAACAAAATTTCATTCTGAGTTATATGGTTGGAATTAACCTTGTTTCTCGTATGGTAGTATTGGGCCTACCGAATTGTAAACAGGGGGAAGCTTAGGCCTCCAAAAGTGAAGGAAGATAGTTGACAGAAACCGTTGTTTTGTTGTTCCGAATGAAAGTTGGATACATGAACATGCAGACGTTAACAAGAGTATCGGAATAGAGGTTAACCATGCTATTGCAGCACGCACGCTGTAGAGATACCCCGGGGCATCAAGGTTCCAGGGCAATTTTTGTGGATGGAAACGGGCAAAAGTTAGATTTAGTGGGCATAGCGTCAATACTTACGCACAAATTAATCCAAGTGTTGTGTATTATACGGAGTGGTGTAGACAGTTTTCCGAACTGTTTCTCCCCTACTGGGTTCTTTAGACTCCTACGCTTCTGTGTTTTGCAAAGATTATTGTGCATCGTCACTTTTCGGGCAACCACTCGCGACTCCTCCAAGAGGTGCATATTAAGGAGATAGAGACACCAGGATGCTTGTACCGTCGATAGCTACAAGGGGCAGTCTGGCATATTTGTGCGCCACACACTAGCTGTGCTCGTTGAAAGTTATACCATTACTTGCGGTTTTCACCACTAGTGCATGTAAACAGTTAGTTCAAAACATCCAATAACTCAGACACAGGAAAAGAAACAACCTGGAAATCGAATATTGCGAATTTCACGTTTGGTGATACACGTGGCTGCATTTTGCTTCACACCGGGCATAATAACCGCGCATCGGCGGACCGCAGCGGATCAGACGCGCGGCNNTGGCTGCATTTTGCTTCACACCGGGCATAATAACCGCGACTCGGCGGACCGCAGCGGTTCAGACGCGAGGCCACTGAGCGGAAGATCTGCGGTGCATACTCCAACCCAACTTTCTGACTGCTCTCGCCTAGGATTGGTCAACCCGGAAATATTATATCCCTCGTGCCGCCTTCGACGTCATTGGTATCTGTGCATCTAAAGCCGAACAGTGTATTTTTCATTAAGCTGGGATGGAGCGTCCGTCCGAGAGTTGTGACAGGCTTGTTTTGTGGTACTTCGAGGCTTTAGTGTACCTTGTCCGGTGCTGCAGTGGGGAAGAAGGACTTTCGCTAAACTGTGCATGGGAACTGTCAATAGATTGTCTTTTTCTGGTGAGCATCAGGATTCAGCTACTGTCACGCTGAAACATGTTAACAAGCTGAGTTGGGTGACGGCAAACCAATACAGAGGAAACGGCATTATTTTTGGGGCCACTGTGGATAGGCATGGCAGTTAAGATACCTGAAAAAGAACGTAATAAAATACCGAATGTATCGTTCCGACCAAATACGATTTCTCGTTCAGCCAGAGAATTTTTGCCGCAGCACGACATCTGTGTTCGAAATGTATGAAGGCGTCTTTTCGGCGCGCAAGTACTGACATCTCCATACTTTATTAAACTGAGTGACGAGTACGTTGACGTTCTCATGGGAGAATTTACCAGCCGCATCACTTTGAAAGCAAAAGTTTATTACGAATGGTGACGCAATATTGGTACCGCATCACTCCATTCATGGAGCTTTCCCTTCATTGAAACAGCAGGATTCTTCCATCGCAATCCATTTCTCTGGGAAAAGTGCGTCTGATTTTAACCCAAGAGTTGTTGATACTGTGTTGAAATATTGGTAGCCACCTGATCAACAACCAATGAACCCAGAAGAAAACATTCTCTTGTCCCTTGGAAGGCTTATTCACTTCACAACGGGAACCACTGCTGGAAATACCATGTACAGTTGTCCCTGTTTTTAATACATCACTTTTAATATCTGATGCCATAACCAGATTTTTTCTCATCTGACTTCGTGGACGGAATTCTCAGACACTAACTACCAAGCATTATCTATTAGAACGATCGTACCTGTAGTATCGGTTAAAGAAAACATGAGTAACATAACACAAGCGTAACAGTGCGTTAACTCAAGGACTGTCGAGTTCCTAATCAAGTTATCAGCTATAAACCGTGTGCCATAGGCACGTTGGTTCCAGCTGCTACAGTTTCGGTCACGGGAAGGTAGAACACACAACCAAGCCTTGGATGTGAAGGCATGTTCAGTTTGTTCAGAAATTGGGTAGCTACACAGGAAGGGCGATAACTTTGATGCACTAGCGCCATTGACTGCGCGGTTGGGCCACTTCCGCCAATGTCATTAACTACTGGTGATTTGAGTCTCGGGGTTCCCATCTAGTAACGCGGCAGTTGCCCACCCGACTAAGTTTACTGGTTAGTGTTTTCGTACTTCGTTGCCAGGCCATACACTGTCCTTTCGGTCGCTTCCACTCAGCACACGGATGGGCACAAAGAGCTCTGCGAGGCAGACAATCTTCTGGCATGCGCAGTACATGTCCTAAGTAGCGCAACCTATGGAGCGTGAGTGTTCCTTCTTCCTAAGAGCATCTGGCGTACCTCAGCATTACTGTTCCCACCAGACCTGATCAGTGCCGCGGAGACACCGATGATCGAACACTGACATCTTCCGTATGTCCTCTGCGCGTAGGGGCCCGATACTCTTCAGCTACTGAAACTTGTCGAAATTGATGAACAGAGCTGCTCTCTTTTGGCACGCGTAGTGCTGATGGAAAGCGAAGTGCTAAACGGGCCCGCACGATGGCGTGGTCAGAGTCGCTGCGTACCCCAGAAGAAACGACAATCCTTAACTGAGGCTCTCCATTGGTAACTGATAGCTCAGTCCGCGATGTCTTGTGGTAGGTGGTCGGTCTCCAAGTAACTCGGTATGTGCGTTTGTGTTGGAAGTTCGTGCTGGCCAGGAACACACAACTGCACACAACCAAAGAAGCCGCTCAGCATCGACTCCAAATCGACTACCTAACTGTGCTTCTTCCGGACTTAGTCGTCCAACTTGTCCATTCATATCACCCGCCAGGATTACTATGTCCGTCCTTGCCGACCGAAGCAGTCGTGACCGATCTTGATAAAAACCATCCTCAGTCTCAGAACTGCTATTTGTTGGGACGTATGTTGATACGACAAACAAACCGTCTACCGAATCGACCTGCGTTAATCTTAATTGAGCCAAACAATCGCACAGCGCAAAGGCGACTTCACTGGGATCCAGTCCAGTAAGGCGCTTCCAGCCTTGGGGCTGAGCACAACTTCCACACCGTAGGTGTCACGAACCATTGCGTCAGGATCACCGGAGCCCCGAAGGGTGGAATGTGGAACATCTGGGCTCGTCCTAAGCAGCTTGAGGAGCGCGATCGACGTGGGGTCTTGTGTGTGTGTTTCTGAGACATAACATACATAGATAGAGAGGGAAATTGAGGTTTCAGCAAGGGATGCCTGTTGCCCAATTTGGCATAGAGTACGGACATTGAACGCTGCAACATAGATCAGATCTTTTGAGGTTGGTAGGTGATTATTTTTGTCCATTTTTTGGGCGATAGTTGAGACACCGAATAGTGGCTGGGGGGTTGGCAGATGGGTCGACTGCACTGCACTGTACGATGGGTTGGGAGGGAATGACGGGGAAGGCCGGTGAGCGAAGAGTTGCAATAACAAACGGTACTTCCCGGTAGCCTAGGCCGATGAAGGGGTTTAGTTTAGGTACCCCACCTTGAGCCTTTGGCTCAAAAGTCTGATCCACAAGGCAGTGGGTAGGGTTTTGTTTGGGGACCCTTCCCCTAGCCTCTGACTCAAAAGTTTGGACCGCGAGACAACGGTTGTTAGAGTTCTGTTGGAGTACCCGGCCCGGAGCCAATGACTCAAAAGTCTGACCTACATGGCTGTAGGGGGCAGCCTAGCCCGAGGACGCAGGGAGCAAGGCATTACTCCTGATGCGGTTGTGCACATAAAGTGCCTTCTGAGCAGCACTGGACTCTGGTTTGAAAAGTATTTCGACCGTGTTGGATAATGCGCTGTCAACCGTTGGCGATCGGAGTGTGCGGTTTTTGGGGCCGATCTTTTCTGACCCATCCATCCTCGCGGAAAGGCAGCATCGGTGCTTCCATAATTATGGACATGCTGGTCGCCTGGGGAAACACCTTACTGTCTTCGCACTCTCATCGCAAAGGACCGTACGGATTTACGTCCAGACCCCCTTGTAATACTCCCGGTACGGGGACTAGCTGTTCTTCGTCGGGCTGCTCCCCTTTGGCCCTCCTGGCACGGTTGAACCTTCAGTAATTGAGTTCCAGCCAGAATAGCCCGCAGGATCATTGCAGCAAAGAAGCCCGATCACCACGACAAGGTGACAGCTTTGGGTCGGGCGAGCTCATAATGACGGCGACTATTGTTGTTCCTACATAACCACGCATGGTCTTGACAAATTACCACGTTTAGCGAACCGTGTATGAGTTTGGACAGACACTTGGCATTGACCCGAATGGCGGCAGGCGACGACCTATGGCAGGCTTTGCCTGTTCATAGATGTGCAACAGTGATATCTGAAGCATCCATTTTAAGTGAAATAGAAAAGCCGATCCCAACCCAGAAGACCTTTGGCCCTCATATGCAAATAGATTTTCACTACTCGGTTCATAAAGCGTTTACGATTCTAGCAGGAACTGCCTCTGTTAATGAATCACTTGGGATTCCTGAAGCAGGTCAGTATTTTACTTTATTAAATTGCCTTGAGAAAACTCTAACTCTGTACACTAAATTTCGTACGGATGAACAGTATCGTGGCTTGAAATATTCGTTTTTCTGAGGACAGCCGTTCAAATTGATCTACGTCCCTGGATTAAATGATGTTCCTCCTAAAGTAAATTTGAGTGTTATCCGGCTTCTCGCACCATGAACAAACTAAACCTTGGAATGAACCATTTGGTCGGTCTCAGGAGGGTGTAATTCAATTGCAGGCCATCTGTTAAAGGTCACAACCTCTAGTCGGCCCCTGGAAGTAGCCTATCCAGATAGAGTCAACCATATTAGCACCACTGAAACCAGCTTGTTATCCAGCGTTATTTGACGATAGAAAACAGCTTCCTACATTTGGGTAGAAGGTCTCATTGCAGCGGACACTGCATTACCCACAAATCGTTAATCACAGAATTCCCCTCCTTGTGATAAACGAGATTCACGAACACCGTGATTTCCTTTGGCGTGGGCCATGAGTTGACCTGCACTATATCAAAACGGACATATAAAGGTTACACGACAGAGTTTTATATCAATCTCAACAACTGCAGCCACCAGGAAGGCAGAGTTAGGCCAGGTCACCTAAGCTTTATTTTGCTTGTGACTGAAGCTACTAATTTTGGATACTTGTGTCTATTTGAGAACATGCCCACCCTTCACCGTCAAACTTAGTATACGTTCGAACCACTTCTAGCTATTTGCAGGAGCCGATTTGAGGTCTGTTTCATTACAACCATCTAAATTATTGGCATGATTTGACTCGCTCATAATTTCATTTTTCGTGACGGTGAACGTATTCAATCTAATGACTCGTATCATTGTAACGTATTTTGCTATTGGCTCCGGGTCCTCCATGTAGCTTTATTAACCTTTGTTGTCACTGACATTGGCGATTTAATAAAAAACCATGCGAAACCCGATGAGTTCGTTCTACTTACAGTCTCCTAAATTAAGTCGTCCACGGTGTCAAACAAACATTACTAAGGATGGCTGCTTGAATTCACTTTGAAAGACGGGACTTCCAACGTCCAGTCATCATAGTTTTACAGTCGTAGTTGTAGGGAAGAGCAAGAGCTTTGCAATTTCAAGCTAACTCTTGAACGGCCACTTAAGTTCAACAGTCAATGCACTTGCTGACGTTTTGACTCTTTTGCAGGGAAAATGACGTCTCAGCTGAAACTTTTGAATGATGGTTTTGTTTCTCCGGGGTCAGCACTCCTTTCCCCCCTGCTCGAAACTTGATTTTGTCGGAAAATGTGGTTTGGCTTCATCATTCTGAAGAAGGAGGTTGCTCATGTTGATGCGATCAGTATAGATATAGATATAGATATGGATGATGATCAGTATAGAAAAAATTAGAATCTCAAAAGTGCTCCCTGGATGGAACTCTCATTTAAGAACAGAGCCTTGAAATCGGAGCTGGTACGCGAAAATTACCCCAAGGCACTTGAATAAGTGCTTTCTCCTCAAATTGGATGATGGCTAAGCTCGATCGTATCGCTCCTTCAGGCGTGTTGTGCTCACGTGAAACAGTTCTTATCTCCCGCTATATAGTACTTAGAAATCAACGAACGCATATACCAGATGACCATCTCATCCCCCACTGGTCGTCGTGTGACAACCGTTACAACGACGCTCACACAGTATATGAATTAACACAGGTCATCTTGATCGTATTCCGTTCGGTCCACTTCACAGCAGTGTTTAGCCTGCGCATCAGGCATTCTAGGTTCACACAATCTGTAATAATGACGGAAGGACAAACATTCTTTTATCATTTATTACACAGGGATACCACCATTGCTTGTACAAAGCGTCCATAAGGACTTCCCAAAATCGCTCGTGAAATCAGTCACTGCGTATTGTTCAGTGTGATGAACCCACCCACTACCACCACCGCTACCGAATAACCTGAATGGAACGCAAGTTGTGACCCACTCCGCATCGCTATAGTATGGAACAACGATGCCACCAGTGGAGCGTAGCTGCTCCAACCATGATAACATGGGTCCCCAGTGTCGCGTCTTACAGTGTATCTGGTTCCATTCCATTTAGCATCTGACAAACCATTTCTCCGACTCCATACCACCGTGGTTAACACTTCGAAAGCGAATTGCCCGTTTGATTATCACGAACGTTCATGCCACGCTTTTACAGCGGATTTGGATGCTGCCGAAGGCCTGTTTTCTGGACTCTGCTTTCATATTGCTCATGTTCCTTCTCGGTAATTCTTAGGAACAGTTTGAACAACTTTGTTCTCCACGTAGCTGCCGAACTAAATTCATTTGCAAACTGATTTGGTCCTAACGACTCGGCTGAATCTCTCGTTTGTGATAACCTTCGACTGAATGGGCTGCACAATGGCTGCTCTCCGTGTTTCAATCTGCACGGTATCCAAGACCTCGTAGTGTCATTACTGACAGAACACACAATTGATAAGGTGACGGAAAACTCTCCAACAGTCCACTACCAGCTTCACCCTCATTGGGGCTCAGCAATGTCAGGAACGAGGGATTCAGCCGAATCCGTCAACACTAATATAATTCGCAAACGAGTGCACTTGCAGTTTGGTCCTCAAGTAGAACATACGATTGATGATGGGAACTACGTTTACCAAGTAAATCACCATAAGGGCGAAACGGGTAGTGGAATATTGAGTAACCCTGCGAGTAGTTCTCTGCCAACAAAGTAGTTTAAGCAACTTCACACGTCAATTTCAGTTTGACCAGCTATGATTCCGGTTGATATTTAATGTGATGGATTTCGCGCACCAGAATATTCCAGTTTGGTAAGCTAATGATGGGCTACCGAAAATACCCCCCGACAGAGTCGCGTCTCGTTCGCATTCACATAAAAAATGCAGACTCCTCAAACGGGAAATGCCCTCGTCGAGAAGATAGTCCTTGCGGCACTAAAGTCATTCGCGCAGGATTCGCATACAAGGAAGCAAACTCACTTTGTTGTCTAAGTGAGGACCCCGCTATTGACAGGCCTTAGACTACCGATTCAAGTTCACCACCTGACTGTTTCGCTGGAACAAAACAAAGTGAAATATTCCAAGAAAACTCACAGTTAACACACCCGAGCGCAACTAAACTTTCGTTACGATGGTTCCGAAATCATGTGCTTAGTGCTGGGGACTACGAATCGATTATATAGCCTGAAATTCCATTTTGTGATGGTGGGTGAAATTTGCAATCCAGTTTATAAACTGAAAAGGAGCGTAGAAGGAATAGATATGTAGGTTGCACAGGCTGAACCAGTTGTGGACGCCACCCTGAGCTAGCTAGAGTCGTGATCGTAGGGCGCATGTACAAGTCGGAGACCGACTTCTGGTATACGTACGGTCCCTAATAGTCCTGAACAACTCAACGTCATTAAGCCCGCATGCATAAAGTTATGCCGTTCCCATGTATAAAAGATAAAACAAGTTCAACAGAAGTCTGTATAACATAGACTGAGTTACGGAAAACACCTTCAAGACCAGCGCAACAGTGTTCATGGATTATCGCTTCCACAAACAACCTGACGCTTTTCGTGCAGAAGAAGAGCGTGCCGAAATAGATTGGACAGATTACTCTAAATAAGCATGTGAAACGTCTGGCTTTACAGCTTCCTCCAAAAAGAGATTACCTACCTGAAACAACCAATCCCACAGTTCCCACGAAATACTCCGTTGGATTGAGGAGCAGAACTTCCATGGAGGACCAGAAGAATTAGGCTTATTTTTGACTCTAGATAGCGTTCATTTTCGAAAGCGAATAGTCTGAGTGCGCAGGTAGGAATACAATAGAACGTCTAAACAGATCAAAGTACGCTAAGGTGGAAGCTCTCGTTCCCAATAGCCCTAGAGCCCCGTTTAAGGTTTGAGTTTAGGGATAAAACCGAAATAGTTTATTTCCGATAAAACGCAACTGATGGCATATACACAAGACTGGTAGCACACCTCAACGCAAGTATAATAATGTGTGGCATGGCTTAGACAGAACACGCCAAGACGGACAAGACAGGATGGCGACAAGGTTACAAAACGGAAATGGGAACTCGGCTACTATTACAGTCCGAATACTTTGACTGAACGATCCAAACTGACAGTGATGAATCTGTTTGCGTTTTCTCCAAATCGGCATCCAGTTGCGGGTGCAGTGTGATCGTTGAACAATGCCAGTTGATCCCATTGTTTACACAAGTAAATCCGGCAGTCTGTACCAGCGACTCCCAGGTAAGACCCGGACTGATCGAACTCGATGTCGTGGATTTCGTACGCTGCTGGTTGTTCTTCACCAGGAACCTGAAGATAAAATTCTCCGGTGGATGAAGTTAACCGACATTTAGATACACGCCGTGTAAACAATCTGAACGCCTTAAATCGCCACAATACGTAAAAAAAAAGTTACGACATGGAACGGTGCATTTCCACAGAAAAGTCGGCCGACGATCCGCTCCGCTCTAAGTAGCAATACAAAGCGGAGCCCCACATTGTCGTAAGCTGTACAGTGGTCCCCTCCCAACGCTCAATAACTCCTGGTGGAGTTACTTCTCGCCCAAAATGCAACCCCCCCCTCCCAGAAACTAACGTGAAATGCGTTACCTCCGACGTGAAACGCTTCTGCATGCTTAACCAAGATAGTCACACTCTATGTTCGCAATAATTCAGGTCATAGTTTTCATCCGTAACTCTTCAAGTAAAACTTTAGGAAACCACCAGCGTAAGGCAGAATGGGTTACTGGTTTCGGATACCTAATCAGTGCGTACTGATATGCCATGCCGTTGCTACAGTTTTGCCACCGCCTACAACTTCCTGCAGTACAGCAGGTATACCAAAAGCCAGTTTGGTTCGACAAACCGACATCACACGGAAGCTTGTCTAGTTTTCGACCGTTGAAAGCCATCATTATGGTGGTTTGAAAGAGCGGAGTGAGTACATACGGTTCAATCGCTTGACTACTGAAAAGTGTGCATTTGGAAGGAGGCAGATGCTCTGTTGATATGGACCGCTTGGCTGGGTGTATGGACTGAGTGTACCTTTTTCTCAGCTGATACGAAGTGTATTCGTCCAGTAAATGACTTCGAACAAATCACTCGTATGAACGGTATTTGGTGGGAATGGAAGATTTGCTCAATATTCAAGCGAAGTCCTAAGTTGTATTTTTCAACTGAACGTGCAGCGCGTAGGTGGCCCGTTCTTAAGTTAGATCTGTATTTCATTTATTTTTTCCTTCGTATTCAGTACCATATACAAAATCAGTGGTAGCTAGTACTGTGGAGGATGTGGAACCCGACTCTGACAAACCTCCCAGCAGCTCGTTCAATGGCACTGTTAAAGACGACATGAAACCATATGGCGGACCAGGGGGAAGGCGCTTTAAACAACAAAGTGTGAGATTTCCGAGCTCCCCTCCCCCAAACATGCAATACTCCTCTCCAAGCCGTAAAACAGACTAATGCCGCTAATGGGGCAGTTGGAAGACTGTACTGGTCAACACAGACATATCACCCCGCCAGTACCCAACCTGGGAACAGCTGGACGGTGCACTGTTGAAAATTTCTTCCAACTGCAGCTGAGGTAATATATGGTATGGAACAGATAGCAAAACCAAACAGTTCAATGAAAAGTTCTAATGCCATTAATTCTGGGTACCAGTCCATCATAAGTCTCGAGTAAGAAAAGCAGTGAAGCTCAGAACTAGTCTGTAAACAGCACACGCAGACTGTTTCAGAGTATAAATGCTATCTTGCACGATGTGCTCATACAATACTCCAACCTTAAGGACGGAATAATAACGCTTCCGAGGAAAAAATCGAACTTACCAGAGTTTTGAAGTTCTTCAGCTTTCGTAAATCCCATAATTTAACCTGACCATCGGCACCACCAGTTGCCAGGTAATAACCGTTCTCGGAAAACGCGAGTGCTGTGACTGTTTGGTTAGCCCCCGCCGCCCCATGACCAAAGTTCGCCACATTGCGACGTTCCTTCACATCCCAGATCTTCACTTCGCCGTCTCCTGTTCCCGTGCCAAGAATCAGACCATCCGGATGGAATTGAGCGCACGTTAAAGCTGAAAGACAGTAGCAGTGCAGCAGACTAGCCGGAGACAGTTGTGCAAAAAGGGAAGAAGGCTGTCCCTGAGACTAACCATAAAAAGACGACTGCAATACACGCAATTTGACTACACACTGAGGGAGCTAGAAGTTCCTGAACTGTCATAAGCACGTACTAAACAAAAGCTTACAACCAACGAGACCTACATTGAAGGGCTCCGGATTTATCAACTGCCGAAACGCGTACAAGAACACGGCCATGCCTCAAATCACTGAACGCCCACTGGCCATCGGCACTGGAAGATAGCAGGTAGTCGCCCGTGGCATGGATGCTCAAACCAGTGACTGCACCTTTGTGAGCACGAATCACGCTGGCACACTGACCCTGTTCCACACCCCACACACGCACGGTGGTGTCCGGGGAGCCAGTGAATACAAGCTCCTCAGCGGGATGATACACCACATTCGTCACCTTCTTTGTATGCCCTCGCAATATGGAAATCACCTAACAATAAAAAAGTAGATATCCATTGGTTATAAACTGTAAAACAAGGCAACTTCCTCACATCTAAGCGTCGCAAGTGCTGGAAGACATAAGGCTAAGGACGTTATGATACGCTACCGTTAGAAATAGGATTTGAAAGTAACAACGAAACTAAGACGACAGCTCTCGTGGAGAAAGCTCATTTAGACAGACTTCTGGCTCTTCAAAAGCTTCCGTACACAAAGCGATATCCGTCAGGGGTGTCCAATATCTGCGTCCCTATTTGATTTCGTGGTCGATGAGACAATCAGACGAACACTGGAAGGACTTCGAAACCCCTGACGACGACCTTGTCAATGTGAAATATGCAGACGATATCGTTTTCGTAAAGCTTCCGACACAAAGCGATATCCGTCAGGGGTGTCCAATATCTGCGTCCCTATTTGATTTCGTGGTCGATGAGACAATCAGACGAACACTGGAAGGACTTCGAAACCCCTGACGACGACCTTGTCAATGTGAAATATGCAGACGATATCGTTTTCGTCTTCGAAGCGGAGAGGGCGCAAGTGTTTTTGGATGAACTGACCAGAGTCATCCATCCCTTTAGTATGCACTTTCCACCCACAAAGTGTAAGGTCATGCTCGTGGACATGTAGTCACTGAACACACCACTTAAAATCCAGGGGGAGGCACTTGAAGTTGTGGAGTGTCTTAGGTACCTCGGAAGTTGCACTAGTTCTGATTGCAGTGTGACAGATGAGGTCGATACATGAATCCGAATCGCGTCGCGTTTGCTAATTGGAGACACCTATGGTGTCAAAGCGGTATATCCCTGGATCAAGGGACGTGTGTATCAAGCTACAGCGCGGGCTGTCTTGTGTGGCTGATGACCTGTCCGAGCAGCGGAACTGAAAAGTGTTCGGGTATTCGACATTCGTAGTCTCGTATGAGTCGGTGTCGGAGAATCCGTAACGAGGCGACTGGAAAGCGAGAGATGCGATGAAACCCACTTAGTAATCGTGCCATGGACAAGCTTCAAACACTGGCATGCCTGGAACTCCTTATCCGGAAAGAAGTGGATTTGATTGTTAAGGAGTTCATGCTTGACGATCACACAACTGGAAAAGAGTGCACATACGATCAGCCTCTAGGGATTCCTCACTAAGGTGAGACGGACGTTTGAATCGAATTGCTACACGAATAGGTAAGTTGTAAAATTCAATGTATTTGAATTCCTAGACAGTGCCCTCAACGATAGGGAGGGGTGTGTGACATAAACCACGATTCCAGCAAATCCAGTCATCCCAATCGATGGAACTATGGTGACCAGTGCATGGTGAAATATTTGGTCTAACAAATTGGTGGTCAACTTGTGACGCTACCGGGCGTTGGATTCTTTGAAAAAGAATTGTGATGTGACGGAGTATTCGAATGGGTGGAATATTTCTTTAACAACACTCTGGATCAGCCACCCATGTTCAACCCACATCGGCAAAAGCTAAAGGGGCAACGTTTCCTTTTTCAGCTGTGCGTCTTTGGAACTGAGTCATATAGGCAGAATTTCCAGGAGAACCTACAGAGTTTCGAAAGCATGAAACGGGGACTAACCTGAGATGAAGCCAGGTTAAAGACAACCGCATTCTTGTCATTTCCTCCAGTGACGATTCGGTCGGGAGATGCTTTGCTGATATCCACAGAAAGAATGCCTGGCATGCTGGCTGAATGCAAGCCAACCAAGCTAGACAACTGCTGATATTCGGAAATGTTGCGCGACTTAGCCAGACCTTCAGGTACGGTCTTTCCCCGTCGTTTTCGTTCCGCCGTCAGCTGACTTGCACGCTCTTGTAGTGTCTGGATTACATCATCGCTCACACCAATCTCTTCTTGAAGCTAAGAAAAACAGAGCGTGCAAAAATCGGTAGAATTATTCAGGCAACCAACAGTAAAAATGTGCAAACAGTTTTCTCGCAGTGCCCTTAAAGGCCACCACTAGATGAGGACAACACAGTGCGCTTCGGTCATTATTACTCGTGACTTAAATTTGTGAACTCGAATTGTCACAAAACATCACGCACTGAGAAACAGGTAAACACAGACCGTAATTGTATCTATAATCAGAAAAAATTCAGCTGACGGAATAATTTGGTGATTGAAATAACGTTTTCTCAATGAATATGATTAGTCAGCTGATAAGCACTCGAACTAACGTGGATCCTGTAAGGCCCTCGGTAGTCCTGAAGGATGAACACATGGGCGAGTTCTTGGGTGGGTCTGAATATTAACAGTTTCATAATCAGCGACAACTGCAGTGGATGAAAGCGGTGTGCGCACTATAGGAACTAAACCAACAGTTGTCTACTCGTACCAGCCGTAGAACCAATGAACATAAACGATCGCGTATAGAAATTGAGCACAAAAACTTCTACATTTATGGCTTGAGACCAGGTGACCCGACCTGAAGACCTGAAGGCTTGTGATAACCACTAAATCTGGATCACCCTACCTAAGGCCACCTTGCCGTGGTTGAGTTTCAGAGCTGCAATGATCCTGCGGGTTGTATCGGCTGGAAATCAGTTCCTAAAGATTCCACCATGCCAGGAAAGTCAACGGAAAACAGCCCGACGAAGAACAACGAGTCCCCGCACTGCGAGAAGTTACAATAACGGACGGTCTGGAGATAAAGTGGTACCGTTCTTCGCAATCGGAGTGTGGAGGCAGTAAGGTGTTTGCCCCAGGCGACCAGCATGTCTATATGTATGGAAGCAGGGATCTTACCTTCCCCCAAGAAAGGACCGGTTAGAAGAGGTCGGCTATAAAAACCGCACGCTCTGATTGGTTGACCGTGACCATCGGCGAATTATTCAATACGGCCCAAATACTTCGGAAACCAGAGTTTGATGCTGCTCACAAGTAACCTAGTGCGCAGTCGCACTAGACAGTAGTGCCTTACTCCCAGCGTTCTCGGGTCAGGCCGGCCTCCTGCAGCCATGTGCGTCAGACTACCGAGTGAAATGCAACGAACAAAACCCTACACCCCCCACTACCTTGTGGGTCGGGATTTTCAGTCAACAGCCCAAGGTGGGGTACCTATACCAAACCCCCGTCTTTGGCTTGGGTATTCCGGGAGTACCATCAGCCCTTGAAGCTCTTCGCTCACCGGTCTTCCCCGCCCACCGAATGTTGCAATGTAGTTAACCAATCTGTCAATCCCTTAGCCATTGTTCCGTGTATCTCCCAGAAAGAAGAATACCTAAATAGTCACTTATTAACTTCAAGAGACCTGACCCACGTTTCAGCCTCCTAAATCCGTACTGTGTCAGATTGAGCAACAGTCATCTCTTGCTAAAACCCGGGTTTCACTCTGTCGTTGTTGTATCTACGAAACATGCATTCGAAACCCTCCATGGTCGTGCGAATTGAGCGTAGGACAATCTCAAATGTTCCACTTTTCACTTTGCGAGTACATGAAATGGTCCGTGGTGTCCAAGGTGTGGAATTTGCACTCAGCACTAAGGCCAAAAGCGCCTTACCGAACTGAATCCCAGTAAACAGTCGTCCTTGCACTCTGCGGCTGTCTGGCTCTGTTGAGATCAATCCAGGTCAACACGACAAACGAAGTTTATTTGTCCTATCACCATACCCCCTGACAGACTGCAGTTCTGAAATTGAAGTCCATCGTGACCGCTTCAGTCAGTAAAAAGGGGCGAATGTAGTAATCCTGAAGGATGACCTGAATGTCAAGGATGGACGAACACACCGCGAAGAAGCACAGTTAGGTGGTAGATTTGGATTAGATGCTCCACGTACGGATAATAGGGTACAACTGTTTCGTCCGTTCCTGGCCGGTATGAACTTTCAGCACAAACGCCCACATCAAGTCACTTGGAGGTCACCAGCTGCAAGATAGTCATTCATCCTATTGGACCCTGTGGTTGTCAGTTACCTATGGAGAGCCTCAGTTAAGGATTGTCTTTCCACCTGGGGTACGCTACTTTTGTGGGCCCGATTATCACTTCACTTTCCGTCAACATTACATACGCCAAAGCAGAGGAAATCCATCTATCAACTTCGACATTTCAGTAACTCAAAAGTACACAGCTCATCTGGCTAGAAAGATGCTGGAAACTTTGGAGATTGCTTGGAGGTTGAACAGAAGAGAGTTAGAGAAGCTATGCCCCCAGCTTTCAGAACTGTTTATCTAAGCCATCCACCTCGACTAGATGAACACTGGATACAATCGAGATCTGGATATCTGGTGGAAACGTCAGATTAACAACGCTGAGGTACGCCAGATGGTTTTAGGAAGGACCTCTCCCATGACAGATGAATTACTCACGTTTCACAGGTTATGCCAGTCCGAATGCCAGAGGACTGTTCGTCTCACAGAGCTCTTTTCGCCCAGCCGTGTGCTGAGTGGAAGCGACCGAGAGGTGGATGGTATATGACCTAGCAACGAATTATGAAAACACTGACCAGTAAACTGAGTCGGGCCGACAACTGCCGGCTTCCTTGATGGAGACCCCGGGAATTGACTTATCAATGGTTAATGACAGTCATAGAAATTTCCCAATCACATATTCAGTCGTGAATCGAAGCTATCACATTCGATACAGAGCTACCTAGTTCCGAACTAAATGGATGTGCCATTGCTTTCAATTCTTGGCTGTACCTACCCCACTTTCCCACTATATGGTGATGAAAACGGTAGCAGCTCGAACCAATGTACCCACTGTACATGGTTAACAGCTGACAAACTTAATTAATGGATTGACATTTACGGCAGACTAGCCACCAACCACCGTCCTAGAGGAGCGTCCAACGTGCTGATTCATTAAGTAGTACCGCTGTCTGAACATTAGATCGGGAGTTAGACGGCAGTGGCGGGTCGTGATGAAATGGTGGGTAACCGAGTATCGGGGAAACGAAGTCGCTGAACTCGAGCTAGTTGAGCTGTGTGTCATGTTCATTCGTAATCGGAAACGAGTGCAATCCTCCAGCCTAGTTGGCAAAAGATTAACAATGGGCAATCTGTGACTCGACAAAAGTGAGAGCAAGACGTTATAGGTTCTAAAGCCCTTCCGGCGGAGGTTCAGGTGGCTGAGATTCTGAAAACCACAGAGCAGGATAAGTCCCTACCGGGCATTCCATACAAATGTGCATTGTTGTTTATATTCCGGGCCTTGCGATAGGTAAGGCTTAATAATGGGTCAACAAAAGCCACAAGAAAGCTGTACAGTGGATGTGCTTTGCTTTAACACGATACCTGATGTGTGCAACTCACTACCGTGAGATGAAAGACACCGAAGTCGGTTATTCCAGAATAGTTGGTTCTTCACAACGGAGTGCTAGTCTTAGCCAAAAGTGAATTTTACTAAGTTCCTCTGATATGACGTATCATCGCGGCCATTAGATCATCGGGCACGAGGCTGCCAATTCTATCAGTATCAACTTGCTGCTCGCCTTTAACAAGTCTGCGAATGTTAACAGATGTCATCGAACTTTCTCGGCTTCGTATGCAGCAAAAAGAGCGCATTCTGTTACTCCTATGTGATATGTGTACCAATGGTAAAAAAAACCGCCTTATAGTCTAAAATGCCGCAACCATGTTTACTTCAACGTTCCACCGATGTCAGGCATGGCACACAAGTTTTGGGAAGGTTGATGATAACCCCGAACAATCTACTGATATTCTTATCTAAAACTGACTTTCTGCCACATCCTGGTGATAAACATAATGAAGAATGTTGACTTTTCTGTACGGCTTTACACCCATTAGGCAAACCATAGCCTTGGATTGCTGAAAGTAACGAGCAAATAACTAAGCGATAAGTTCATTGTGATGCTCGTCAACCCATAGACATCCAGAGACGCCTGGGAACTTACCTCGGGAATGAGTTTGTCTAAACTGAATCTAACAAAATGGATAAGCAACCTCATGACCAGTAAATGTTTTGGGTATGCGTGAGTTTCAGGACACCCATCACTCGTGTGCACAGAACGTCAAGTTAGGCATGTGCCACGCAGTTCACGTAATCGAAGATGGAAGCTAGTAAAAATTTAGCGGAGAAATGAGAGGATTGTCGCCATTCGGGAGTAACAAATCAGGAAATGTCCCCCCTGGATGGGAGTGAGGAAACGACCCTTCATGATTAAATGATACACACCGACTTGACAACTTCTACAAAGCCCAACATCACTGACGGGTATCAATGTGAACTGATATGCTAGAGGAAACCATTGCATTCACGGATTTCTCCTGAACCCTGCTTTCGGGTACCACTACTGGGTAGGTTAAACGGAAACAAGTTCCACCAAATGACGGACCTATGCTACTCTAGAACAAACGAAACGCACACTTCTGTATTACGGTCGTTAACATGGGAATATTCACAGTCTCGTTACCTACTGAATATCAAACGTTCCGGATAAAAGAAAACGAAAAGAGCAAACTTTTGTGTTGCTTACTTCACCCGGATGGATTTAAGCTCGAATCGCCCAAGATATGAATTGATTCAATTAAACCGTAGTCGTTTAAACGACAAAAAACTCACGTTGAATTCTGTCAACTAGTGTGCTTGGAGCTTATAGCCAAATCAAAACTACCAAGTGACGTTGATTGCATGCGCTAGTCAACCTGTGCCTAGATGTGACATCAACACGGGCAGGAACGTCAAACCAAACTGACAGTGTAAACAAATGTGAAAACCACTCACCTGGTTGGCATCTATCATAACTGCATCACCGGAAGTGTCAGTCACTTGTTGAGCACCAGGAACCGCAGGTGCTGAGGCTGGTGCGGCAGCCGCACCAGGAGCCATAATACCTGCTTGAGGTTTCAGGGTGGCCAAAGCCTCACGGGCGGCCGTGACTTCCTTCGTTAACCTGAAATAAAAGTGGACAGACCCGTGGGTGATGGCGATAGGCAGCAGATCTCCACGTTCCAACACATCTAGTAACAACGCTTACCGCCATGATTATGAGTCAGGGCCCAATGGTAATACCATGTCCACAAAGTAAAGTGAATCAGATTTCGTGTGAACAGGTATGCTGCTGATCGGGATTAATACTGAGGGCAAATAACCCCACGGTGGGGTAATGACCAATTCTACGGTGTGAATACCACTTTAAGTTTACACTGAAATCAATGTAGTCGTAAAGTTGGCACAGCCGCCAGTAAAGATTGAGGTGCAGTTGTCAGGTAAAAGTGCAGTCATGCAAACAAAACTGTCACATTCAGAGGAAACAGAACTCAAATCCGGATAAGTTGTGATCCAAAAGACTGCAATGAACGTGGTCTGGTCAGTCTAACGGCTGCTAAAGTTTAAACTATCATAAACCGCGAAACAAAAATAGATGTAGATGACTCATAACAATGGAACTCTTGCTAGCAAACTGGACGCTAAGTCGTTGGTCATTACAGAGGTAATTAGGCTGAAAAACGGTTGTTTATAAACTGCGCACAATTCAGAGCCTGTTTCGTTCTTATTAGGAGAACCAGCTCCGAACATGACGGGACTACAAAACTGCTAATGGAATAGCCGTTTTTCGTTGAGACGGATTTCAACGGTTGTCCTTCACTCGCCCTTGACAGATGAGTTGTATTCTTAGTCATACCGCTTGTACGCGACAGTGATTAATAGAGCAGCTGGCTCGCACGTTTATTGACTTCTGGTTTGGCCAAGCGCATCAGGCGATCAAGTGGCTACCTAGACCGGGGTTCGCGGCAATAAGAAAGCATTAAGGGACCGTGGTCCACAACAGTTTTAAACTATTATAAAACGGCATTGTTGGCAAGACAAACGAAAGAATCGTTTGCACCAGAAGGTTCTTTCCTCAACATCCTATCGCACTCGCGGTGCACGCACGTGCGTCGTACAAATGAACCTTTCCAGGCAACGCAGACGCGTGAAAACTTCAAGAAGTGAAGCAAAACGCTCAGATACAGACCGTCAGAAGGAGGCAAGTGGAAAAACCCAAGGCAGGTAGGACAAACCTGGCTATGACGCGACAGGCAGCATCATGTTGATAAAGGGCGTGTGAAAGTTCCTGCCGAGCAGTTTGTAGTTGCTGACGGAGGGTAAACGACTGAAGCATTACAGCATCCCATTCGTCCTAAAAGTAAAATAGTGAAAGGTGAGTACCGCTCACTAATGGATTCAAACCTGTAGGGTCTTCAAAATGGCAGGAATTGATGTGGCTGACGGTGGTTTTGGGCGAACAAACGGAGATGTTTTTATTTCGATAAGCTCCTCTACAGTAAGAGGTTGTTGATCAATGGGATCAGTCCCATTCTCCTGAAGGTACTTCTCAATTACGCGTCTTTCGAAGACATGTCCAGACTTCGGACTAATAACTGGATGCTCCGGCACCTCGTTGGATAATGAACAGATGAGCGACATTCTAAAATGAAGCGTGTTGGCGATAGCAAGGGATAAAAAATATCAGAAATAGATAAAGACGGTAAGTCATATTTGCGAGGATGTATTAGAAAGGAATACAGCTTAGCTTGCGGGATACACATAACGTTCAATCATAGCGGCAGTCTTCGAATGACACTTGAGGACGAACAAACTGGAGTTCAAACTGCTGCATTGAGAAACTAGTCTGTAACAAGAGTATAGATCATTCTGTGTGCGCTGACGGATGACAATGAACTGAACATACCCGTAGAGATAATAGAAGAACGAGATAATGTAGAAGGCTAACTTCACCCAGCCTTCACGCATCGCCTTGTTTAGCTCATCTGTATTGTATTCATTAGTTGGGTCATAAAGTCCCGGTCCCCTTATAACAGGACGGTGCATGTAACTGCAAAATGAGCACCAGAAAGTTCAAAAGCGAAGCGACGATAAACATGATAGGCCATCAGTGGAATGTTGAAAATTGCCGTTCCCAGTTGAAACGTGATAATGAAGAGCACTGTATATGCACCATGCAAAAGGTACTCAGGGAGAACCAGCTGAGTAACAGCATTTGATTAGAAAGCGGAAACCACATACCGGATTGAGAGACTTGCACTGGTCCACCGGATTTTTATGATCCGTCTTCAGCT